GTATATTCACTATATGGCCAGTAAATCGTAAAGCTAGAGTTTAAAGAGAATTTTGTGATAGTAAATAGAATAGATTAATAGGAATAATTATATATACGTAATATACTAGTATCGATAACAGTAGTAATAGGGTTTAGTACTAGTTATTAATTAATTCAACTAATTAGTAGAAAACGCATCTACAATGCGTTAGGCTAATCACGAATGAATATATATATATATATATATACTTGTATATAGTCTTATCATTTTCCAATAAATAGAGACTCTTTTATAGTTTGTTAGGATTGTCTATGCGATGATTAATTGCAAAGCTTATCAAAGACATTTCTCATAGTCGTTGCGTAAAACACTTTCTTCTATAATTTACATTTTTATTAATCACCATTTGCGAATGGCTTATCGATTATTTTTATCTTTCTCTTTCTTTCTTTTCTGATTGATTGAACAAATTCGAAATTCTTGTGCTTAGAAAATAATTTCATTAAAACGAGATATACAATCGATAGATTTAGAATGATCATTCCTTTTTTTATTCTAATTTTTTTTTTTATATTTATCGTATTTTATTTCCTTTATGAGAAAATCCTTTTTAAAAGTATAAGATTGGAATTTTGTCTATTTCTTTTAATTTTGTTTAAAATGTTTTCTATCTCTTTTTATCTTAATTTTCAATATACTATTCAATTTTTGAATCGTTTAGTTTTGAAAAATTCGAATTAATTGATACATATATTTAGCAGAATTTCTATAATTTCTCTACTAGCGATAAGAAGACGCGTGTAAGTTAACTCATAGCGTAATATATGCATTTAATGTGTGTGTAATAAGAAGTACGTATAAAGAGAGAAATTAGATTAGTTTAGAATGCGTAAAGTATTTTTCTCTCTTCTTTTTTTTTTTTTAATATAGTTCTCAGGTGTTTTTATATTTTTAAATATTTTTTCATTAGTACCGAAAGATAATAGCGTAGAAAAGAAGATCGCATTTTCTTGTCTTTTTTTTTTTTTTAGGTCTTTAATCGGGTTTCGACTTTCGATTAATCGAATAAACAATGCACGTTACTGTCCATATATATGTATATATGTATAGGCTGAATCAAAAGTTTTTAAATAATTTTGAAAATCAATAATATTTCTTCGATATCTTGCTCAGCTAATTTTTCTTGAATATTGTAAAATTACAAGCCTAACGCAAAATTTCGTCAAATATCAATTGGATTTTTGAAATTATCGGTGCAACTTTTGATTCACCCTTATATATACACACACATACACACACATACGTATATATTTATATGCCAGTGGTTTGATAAGAATGTTTAGAAGAAAATATCGAGTATAGTGATTGCGATCGTAATGTTTTCCATTTTTTCTCTTTTTTTTCTTTTTTTTTTTTAAGTTTTTTCGTTTAACTATAATATATCCGTTATCTTTATCATCTGTGACAATACGTACATACGTTTACCTACAATCTTGCATATCGCACACATACACACACGCATACATCCGATACATGCGCGCGTATAATTTATACACATTTATTCACATTGATAATTATGATATGGGGGGGAACGAACATAGACACACCATTATCTAATAACGTTGTCAGTAAGATATGGTCATGTATACGTTTTGATTATAAATTACGATGTTTTACAATTTAGGCGCGCGTGTTCTCTTATTTTTCTGTTTTTCTCTCTTTCTTTTCTTTTTGTTTTTTTTTTTTTTTTTTGTATTAATAATTATTAATTATATTTGTATATCGACTCAAATTGCCTCACTTTTATATTTGTTATATTTAAATCTGTTTCTATATACAGGGTGTCTCGTAATACATAGAACCCACTTCAGGAGTGAACAGGGATCAATAAAAATTCATAAAAATATGTGTCCAATTTGACCATGTTTCAAAATTATAGTCACACTTTTGTGTTTCAATGTTTTTATGAATTTTTTTAAATCATTTTATCTTATATATTACGAAACATCTGTATATTAAAAAAATAAAATACATATAT